GAGCATGGTTACTTTATATTGTTACTCACATTTGTATGGTGATCAATGTTTTTGATTTCTCCAATGTCGGCCAACATCATTGAGACAGCCATGGCTGTGGGGATCCGGTGGAGTAGAGCTCTCGGATGTTATTACGTGGAATGGATCCACAAGTGATTACGATATTTAGCTACTCGAGAGCCTTGTAAGTTTTCGACGCATACTCTTTTGTATGGTGGAAAGTTGAGATTTCTGTGCTGCTCTTTTGGTTTGAATAAAATCTTTCAGTGCTTATTTGACGAACATGAGATGTTTTACGTGGCTGTATACTTTGATTTCTTTATATGCCACATATTTTGGGAGCATGGTTACTTTATATTGTTACTCACATTTGTATGGTAACCAATGTTTTTGATATTCAAACTCGGTTTCGTAGCACTGTTTTTGGCACCGTTTTGCCAAGTGAAAATATTATTATAATTTACGTCATTATTTTTACAAGGCACCAATATCTTACTTATGATTTGGTATTTTAAGACTATGATTTGATTATTTCAGTTTTATTATTCAACTTACCTGCCTTATGCTTGTTTCCCATCTACACCATGCTCATGGATCCGATGATCACTGAATCTGTGAGACTCACCCCCCATATTTTCCTTTTGTAAACAGTGATCAGCCTAACACGTATTCATTGGCATTTTCAACCCACCGCGGATAGGTAAAGCCATCTCATAGCACTTTATTCCTAATCGCTCCACTGCTAGAGGTCAAGTCTTCATAGAGTAATTTGTTATGAAATTAGACAATTGTGTCAATATAAATGTACATTTGGAGATTATAAGTCATGATGTATTATTTTACGATTATGTGGAATAAAGGTTTATTTAATTTATAAAGATCATTGTTCAATTCTTTTTACAAAGAGTTTTATGGATCGAAATGATTTTATAGATTGATGGTGTGAATGTGAGGTAATGATTAACATTTTAATTAACGTTCGAACATCGGTAGCGATCGAGGAGCGGTCATTACAGATTAGATTTATACTTAATAATTTATTATTGAAAATATTATTTTTGATGTCAAAAAATATTTTTTGGTGAAAAAGTTTTGATCTTTATACTTAGATTTCTAAAGAGATTTGTACAAATACCAATTCACCAGTATATTGTGCATTGAGACTTCCACACTAAAAATTCTAATTTGTTATTTAGGGGCAAAATGGAAAATTTTATTTAGTGAGCTAATGAAATGCTTCATTCTGAACCAAATATACCAAAATTCATCCTTAAGTTTACTAATACGAGTGAAAAAGAGGTATTCAGAGGATAAGTGAACAAGAAACTAAAGAGGAAATGCCTTTCTTACATTTTGCCTACGCCTCTCCCCAAACTAGTTTTAAGGGACTTTGGTTCTTCGTCCATTCCCTTTCTTCTTGCTTCTCATGACATTCTCTCTACTTTTCTCTCCAAAGACTTTCTTTTCCCTCCTTCATTCCTCTCTCCATTTTGATTAAGTTGAAACACCAAAAACATGAATTCAAGGTGAGATTTGTGTTTCCTAAGCTATCAATTTTGGTTGGTTTGGATTTAAGTTTTTTACGAAACATGTCAATTGACTTGCATGACACACATCAACTATATCAAGAGTGAGCCAAGATTAGGCTTGAAGTTCATTTTTGACCCCTAGTTTTTATTTTTTCAATCAAGTTCATTTTCTAAATTCTTTCAAACAAATAAATCCAATTGATGCAAAAAATATGATCGATGGAAAACTCATTACATGAAACACAAAATTTATAGATTTATTTAGGCATATAAGAGCATCATATGATGAAAAACCAGACCCTAAAAACATGCTTATTTGCAAATGCCATTAACATGTCAAAAAACCTTACAAATGGATAATTATAAGATAAAGGCATAAAATGATGTTTAGAATGTTAATCATGTTTCCATAGAAAAAACAAGAAGAAAACGGTTGAGTGGACTCCAATACCAACGTAGGAAATATACAGATTAAAAAGGTTGCAAAATAATCTTACTCTGATAATATATATATGTGTGCGTGTGTACCACTCTTTTATCTTTTCAAGACAATGCAAAGTGACTCCGTGATCTTGATTTTTGATGTTTTACAGCTTATTAATTTCAACAAAAAAAAAACTCGAGGGGGTAAACTACTACAAAAAGGAGCAATGACCACACTTTTAACAATGCAAAAACCTAAGCTTGGCAAATGAGGGAAGATGGTCTCGCTATAGGGATGGGAGAGTTCCTATTTTCACATCAATTTTTTTCTAGTTAATTGTGATTGTATTTTAGTAAAAAAATTTCAAGCCTATTTATAGAACCTCTTTTATTAGATAATTTAGCAATTTTAAATTATTAGATAATTTTGATATATAATTATCAGATATTTATATTATTAACTTAATTGATCAAGATAAACTAGGGATAAATCCTTATATTTTAATAGACTTGATCAAATGAGATGGATTATCATGGATGTTAACCCAACAGTGGAACACTAAAAATAATCAAGTAGTTGTAATCAATTAAGAAGTACAAATTCAATATATATTTATTTACATGTGAGGAATTCTAAGGATTAATGTGGATTAAGGCGTGGACCGAGTGAATATAAAGATAAATTGATAATTCACATTCATGTTTGTATTTTTTTTTCTGAAATTCATTCCGAGTAAATTTTATTCTATTTTAAATAACAAAAGGATTTATTTATTTCTTTATTTCACTTTAAAACTTATTATTGTGCTTGATAAGTTGAGTCTTTTAATTGGTTTATTTATTAAAAATCAACAATATATTATATATCCAACAGTTCTTTTGCATTAAGATTGCTCAATAATATTTAAATTTCTCTTCACCGCACATTGAAATCATTCTATTTACTGAGGCGAAACAAGATCAAAATTTTTCGTACATGGAAAAAGTGGTAACAGTGGAGAATGAATGACTTACCTCCAAGCTTCTGTTTTGGCTGTCTTAATAAAACAAAAAGTCAAAAAAGGTGAAAAAGGTGAAAAAGCAAAATGATAAAAAGGATTAGATGGTTGGGAAGAAAAGACAAAAGAGCATGTGGTAAAAAGAGGAGGGGGGAATTTCATTTGCGGAATAGAAAAGAAAGAGGAAGGCCATGTGGTATTGGCTTACACGTGTGCATATCGAGATATGGGGTTTCGGTGTCTCCCTCTGATTACTATTTACGATTTACGATTTACATTACTCAACACGGATATCAAAGTGAGGCAATGGAAGCACAGATTCACTTGGAAGGGAGTGGACGTGGAGCCTTTTTAGTCTCGAGTCTGGTCAGGGACAGACAGCCCAAAACGTTATATATATACTATCTCAGCAATAGAGGAAAGAGAAGAGAAGGAAAGGAAGGAGCATCTATAGTAGTGTTTCATAAATGTGTCTGTGTCTCTCTGCAGAAATTGATAGACTGTGCGTTACAACACGCAAAGTGGTGCCAGTTAAGGTTTCCTTGTGGGGAAACCAACTGCCATTTATTTATCACTTCTTCTCTCATTCTCTGCTCTGCTCTGCTCTGCCTTGCCTTAAAAAATAAATTAAAAGAAATGGGTGAAGGAGATTCCTTCGCATCACTACTTCCTTTTGACAGACACGTTGAACAGGTCCCCTCATTTGCACTCTCCTTGACTCCTTCTCTGCCTGTATCTTCTTCGTTTTACTTGAGTCTTTACATGTCACGGCATTGTGTTTGTGTTTGATCATCTTTCGTCCATGTTTCAGGCAGTTTTGTCTACGAAGAAAGGCGCACATCTTTTGAAGTGTGGAAGAAGAGGGAAGCCTAAATTCTGTCCTTTCAGGCTTTCTACGGTGGGCAGATTTTCTGTCTGAATTCTGAATTATGTTGTCGTCGTTTACTTCTCAACTCTGCTTGGCTCCTGCTTTTTCTCTAACTAAAAAAACTTGTAAAATTTGACTGTCTGCCATGAGAAATTTGTTTCTTCTTGGCAAACTGCTGCTTAAATTCTAAAACTCTTAGCAAAGTGATATTTCCCTCTTCCTTTTAGTTCCCCTCAGACTCTGCACAAACATTTATTGAAATACTTGATTTCTCTTGTTTGCTATCTAACGTTTAGACCAATTTTGTTGCCCTCTTCCTATTAGTTGATTGTCGTGCAGCTGCACAGATGCAAGGCTGTTTTGCCTTAATTCTTTGATGCTGTACTGGTTGACTTCCATCACTAGTTACCAAACGAAATGGAAGAATCATTTATTTGCTCAACTGCTATGAAACTCTTAACTAAAACATTTGGAGGTTCCTGGAAATAATACTATGAAGAGAGGAAGAAAATTGTATTTCTGAGAGAACATGGGTAATGACTTTTTGGATCCGGCCCTAGGTTTTTCTTTTATCATTTGGATGAGGGGGAGACCCTTTGGTAACACTAGCAGAGAAGTAGTTTTGGTTGGTGTTGGCTATGGAAGATAGGAGGGGCTGGTGGAGTGGTGAGGGTGATACTACTCTGGTCAATGGAATCACTAACATGGGTATCACCTAGGGATGATGATGACATTTATCTTATTTTTGTTCAACAAAATTTAATTCTTTTTTATCCATAATAACTCATTCTCTGAATGCTTGTTACTCCAAATTAATTATCACTGATTTAACTTTACTCGCCTTGTTTGACCAAGGAAAGCGGGCAAAAGAAGAATATTTAATTCAAACGGTGAATGAAGGAAGAGAACTTTAGAGATGGCATAACGGGATGACACTGGCTATCAAAGTTTCTATCTTTATGTCCATCTTTTACTTCTGACATGACAGATAAAAGTTTCTGGACTTTGTAGGACACTTAACTCTACTGATCTATCATATGGTGAACATCCCATTTACATATCGTGCTTTTCAAATTGGTTAACTTGGCCTATGCACATGCTGCTGACACTTGTATCGAAGATTTTAACTGTAATTTAGACTGCATCTCCTGTTTCTCCTTTTGGTTCTTAAAATTAATAATATCATGCAGTTTTGGTTGTGTTGTCCTTTCTACTTTCTGCAACAGCTACAATCTAGTTCGGAACGATCATTGATCAATAGCCAAATTTGATTTGAGTTTCAGGATGAGAAATATCTCATATGGTATTCAGGACAAGAGGAAAGGCAATTGAGATTGAGCTCTGTTATGAAGATTGTCACTGGACAGAGGACCGTATGTAATTTCTTGCTAGAATTTAATATGTAACTGTGTTTCTGGGTGATGCTTTTATTTAAATGTTGGAGGTTTGACTTAATGCAGGTAAATTTTCAAAGGCAACTCCAACCAGACAGGGAGCAGCAGTCAATTTCACTTATTTATGCTAATGGTGAACGCTCCCTGGATTTGGTAAACTTGGTGTTCCTCTTGTATACGTTTAATATTTTCTTGTTCACCCACTCCCTCCACGCTATACCCTTTCTTGGGCTTTTTATTTTACAGCTGAATTTTCTTTTCTCTCTCTTTCATAGATATGCAAGGACAAAGCACAGGCTGATTCGTGGTTTGTAGGCTTGAGAGCTGTGATATCCAGATGTCACAATTGCAGATCAACCACCACTTTGAGGAGCCGTAGAGGGGCACAAAGTTGTATCAGCAGTCCAGCTGGTTTTATTCGAAGAAAACATAATCTAGGACTTGCAGAGGATACGAATCAGTTTTCTCAGGTTTCATATTCCTTAACTTCTATACTTTGCCACAAGAGATAGCTTTCCTTTTTTTCCCCCCCAAAAACTCTCAACAACATAATTTATTATGTTTAATTAAATCTTGAAGGTACGAAGCTTATGTGGAAGTCCTTCTCAGTCACTTTCTGAGAGGTGTTTTTCTGATGGCTTATCATATTCTTCTGATAGCTTTTATTCATCAGAATCAAATTTGTCACAGATGCAAAATGTAATGGATACCTTAATGCCAACTTCTCCATATATTGAACCAGATAATCTCAAGCAGTGGGGAACCCATTATGCAGCTGTGGAGTTTCAAAAGAATATATCTCACAGGTTTAATGCACCTACTCATTGCTCTATACAGATAAAGAAGAATGAAATTCTAAAGGATGTCATGATCTGGGGTGAAGGGGTAGTGGGAGGAAATATTTGCGGTGCCAGCGATAGCTCTGGTATTCAGAATGGGTTAAAAACTGACACTTTGTTGCCTAAATTGCTAGAGTCTGCAACAATGTTGGATGTGCAGCGTATATCTCTAGGAGCAAGACATGCTGCTTTAGTTACAAAACAGGGTGAGGTCTTTTGCTGGGGTGATGGAAATGGTGGAAGGCTTGGGCACAAGATTAACATGGATACCAGCCATCCGAAGCTTGTTGAATCCCTCACTGGTGTTGCTGTAAAAGCTGTTGCTTGTGGTGAGTACCAAACATGTGTGTTGACACAATCTGGTGAAGTATATACTTGGGGTGGTGACTTTCATGGCACTAATTTAGTGGGTGAGGTGAGAAATACAAGCCAGTGGTTGCCACATAAGATTTCTGGCCCATTGGATGGTGTAAATGTGCTTAGTGTTTCTTGTGGTGAGTGGCATACAGCAATTGTTTCCAGCGCTGGGAAATTATTTACATATGGTGATGGAACTTTTGGGGTTCTCGGCCATGGCAATACACAAAGTTTGTTACAACCAAAAGAAGTTGAGTTTTTTAAGGATTTGTGGGTAAAATCTGTTTCGTGTGGACCATGGCACATGGCTGCTATTGCAGAAATCATGACTGATCGTAACAAGCTCAATGCCACTTGTGGAAAATTATACACATGGGGAGATGGTGATAAAGGAAGGTTAGGTCATGCGGACGGAGAGAGAAAGCTTTTACCAACATGTGTTGTGCAGCTTGTGGATTTTGATTTTGTGCAAGTTTCTTGTGGAAGAATGCTGACGGCTGCAGTCACTAGTTTAGGTACAGTTTATACAATGGGAAGTGCAATACATGGACAGCTAGGGAACCCACAAGCAAAGGATAAATCCATCACTGTTGTAGAAGGGAAGCTAAAACAAGAATTTGTCAGGGAGATTTCTTCAGGTTCCTATCATGTTGCTGTCTTGACATCAGGGGGAAGTGTTTATACTTGGGGGAGTGGTTCCAGGGGACAGTTAGGCTTAGGTGACATCGAAGATAGAAACACGCCAACTTTAGTTGAGTTGTTGAGGGACCAACAGGTTGAAAGCATAGCTTGTGGATCAAGCTTAACAGCAGCAATCTGTTTACACAAATCTATCACTATTAACGATCAGTCAGCTTGTACAGGATGCAAAATGCCTTTTGGGTTTACCAGGAAGAAGCATAATTGTTACAATTGTGGTCTTCTGTTCTGTCATGCATGTAGTAGCAAGAAGATTGCAAATGCATCATTAGCACCTAATAAAAGCAAGCCTTCTCGTGTTTGTAATCCGTGCTTTAATCATCTACAAAAGATCACAAATTCAAGCAAGCTTTTAAATTTTGAAAAGCAAACGACAAGGCAACCATTGACTCCTCAAAGAACTTTCCTTGATGAGAAAGATGCTAAGGAAGTGATCCCTACAAAGAGTCCATTACTGTCAGTAAAACATTCAACTTATGAAGAAAATCAAGATACTGAAAGGAAGACCTCAAAGACCCAAAGTGAAAAGGAACGATATCTTGAACCTGCCTCTTATTTTTCTGTGGCAACACCACGATGGGGGCAAGTATCTTGCCCTGTTCTATTTGAAGCACCTCATAGTAAAAACTCTTCAGCAAGTTCTCCACTTTCCAGAAATATGTTACCTTTAGTTGATCCAGGTTCCTTGCAGAGAGCATCTCTGCAATCAAAATCTACTGTATGCAATTCCACAATTTTGGAGATAGATTTAGCCAAATCAAATAAGATGCTTAATGAAGAAGTTCAAAGGCTGAAAGCTGAGGTAGTTATTCTGTTTATTTATCTTAGGCCTATTAATTATTTAAACTGATTGTTGTACTTCTCTTGGGGCAAAAACACAAAGTGGCTAACATTGTTTTGCATCTGGTTTTGTTCTACCGAGTCTATTATTTGCTGGACGTTAGCACCAATTTATCCACCTGACATGAAATCAGAATCCTTTATATCTGAACATTTTTTATTTTGAAACATAACTCCTGGACCATTTTAATATGTTGTGAGTGAGTAGATTGATATCTTTTGCAGTATTGATACCTCAAGGTTCATGTACTGAAATTTTGTTATTGGTACATTATTTTTCCATATTACGTGTGTTCTGTTGATAAGCTGTAACTTAATCCAACTCAAGAGAGTATTACTAATGCACGTTTTTGTCACTGTTCTGATTAGAGAAGGGTAAAATTGATGAGTCCATTTGCATGCTCTATTTTCTATAAACACATGGCATGCCACACTGTGAGGCCAACAGTATGTGCAACTAAAACTATATATGTGTTATGCTATCTCTTCTTGCCTACTCTCTTCAGATGGAAGAATAGTATGTAAGGTTTATGTGTATTATATATATAAATATATATATGCATCTGACTTCATGTGGTTCTTTTGTCTTCAAGCCTTTTGATTGGATGGTTTATTTTTTAATGCGTATAGCTTTTTTCTTATATAGTCAGTTTTAGGTAAAATGCTATGGTTATTCAATCATGTGATGGGCATGCTTTCTGTATGCCACACTTGGATTTCTTCTTGTCTAATAAATTCTCTTTCATGTCAAAGGCAAGAACCCTTGAAATGCAATGTCAAATTGGAAGCCAAAAGATTGAAGAATGTCAGCGAAAAATTGAGCATGCTTGGTCTCTGGCAAAGGAAGAAGCTGAAAAATGTAAAGCAGCAAAGGAATTTATAAAAGCTTTGGCATTAAGGGTAACTCGTCTAATTTTTCTTTTAAGGTTGTTATGAAAGGTTTTTGAACTGAATGTCATGTTGAAGTTGGTCTAAAGGCAGTTCAAAACTCTGTTATACATGCATATTAAGGGTAATTAACAAAACTTTGATTTGAATTAGGGTCCAACAAGCTTTAGATAGCTGATATCCAGTTTAAAGAAAAAGAAAAATAAATTTCTATCAAGTTTGAGGGTAAAGGACAGTGGTTTTGTATAGTATGGTCATGCAGAAGGTAGGGTTATGGATGCATTGATGCAAAACAGAGAGGAAACTGATGGAACAGAAATACCAAAAGAGGTCATGATAAACCAAAATCACGGTGACTGTAGTATTAGAATGGGATATTGATTCTAAAAAAGCTGTTTTCATTTTATATGTATTTAGACCACACAAATTGGGGGAATTAGTTTCATCTATCTGGCGTCAATTAGTTTGGGCATTGAAGTTTTATTTTCATAGGACATATCGCGAGTTAAAGTAGTACTTTTTGTTTTTCTCTTTTGTAAATGAACAAAAACTATGGCATTGTTTTTATTTTCTCTTGACCATAATCAAAAAGTATATATATGTGTGTGTGTATGTGGACTTTCTTTTGTATGGTATCTAAATGCCCAATGGGAATTTCTGAAGTTGCTTCATAAAGTTGCTAAGGGAAAAGCCCATTGTTTTAGGTTTGATGGTTTTTGTGTTCTGCCCTGTGAATTTTATAGTAAGCAGGCTTTGATTTTAATATTGTTGCTGCAGCTTCATTCAATGTCAGAGAAATTTCCTGCTGGAAGAGAACAAAAAACTAAATCTGGCGTTCATTTGTCTAGAATGATGCCTCTAAACACAGATAGCTCTAATCTTGAGGGTGTGCATCCTTTGTCGATTGCAGCGAAGTTACCCCCTGAGGTTAACTTTTCAACAGAGAGACAAGTGGACAGTCTTTGTGGAACACCTATTGTGTTCTCAAATAAATTGAAGTCCATGCAGGCAAGAGATGGAGTTCATGAAAAGGATAGACCATTGCAGGATTCACATGTCACACAAATGGAAGCAGAGCAAAATGGAATTAAAGATTCGAAACTTGAATGGGTTGAACAATATGAACCTGGGGTGTATGTTACCTTTACAATTTTGGCAAGTGGGCAGAAGGGGCTAAAGCGTGTAAGGTTTAGGTAATTTTCTAATTCGTATTTATATTCCTTATGAGAAGTTCTTGAAGTTTTCAATTAAAGCTGATTAAATCAAATTAGAATTATTCATCAAAACTGATAGACTCATATAACTCACTACGTAGATCAATAATTTATAAAATAACAAACTAGAAATCATCCTTATATCAATTTAATTGTAGTTCATGAATGTTGAAAGTTGTCTTGTAATCTTATATATTGAACAATTTTTATTCATCTATCAGTTTTGCTTGAGTTTTTGGATACATGATCTATATATTGAACAATTTTTATTCATCTATCAGTTTTGCTTTCATGAACTTACTCCAAGGAACTCCATCTAGGTCTTGTTTTTTAATTATTATCTAATTGGTGATTGATCTATATGCGACTCTGCATATACATGGACACCAACACATTCATGTATACACTGGAAAGTACACACATATGTATCTGCATATAAAGGCATACATACAAATATAAATACATGCATAGGAAAAATGCATATAAGGTCCAAATAATTTGTCATGCATGTGTATGTATATTTCCTAGTTTATTCCATTATCTTCTATTGTCTTTGGATTTCCATATGGCACTTTTATTTGGTTGCATCACAATGGATTCTAGCCTAAACTATCTTAAAATGAGTGGCCATTTGTATGTTCTGCTGCATAGTCGGAAGCGATTCACAGAGAAGAAAGCAGAGCAATGGTGGGAGGACAATCAGCTTGCAGTTTATCGAAAATACGGAATCGAAGGATACCTTAACTCAAACCAAAATCAGTCAAACAGTTAACTTCTACCTAGCATGTACAGATATGAGAGTGGTCGCTTGTGAGTTTTCATTAAAGATCTTTTGCTTGAACTTGGGTCATTCCATGCGCTAGAAGTGCATGTTCAATATTATACCATGTATAGCTATCATGATTTTGTTTCTTTCTCCTTTGATAAATTAGTTTCATGTGGCTACATGCATTTCTATTGTATTGGCAATGGACGATGGGGAAACATATTTATCATCTTCTTACCGCCTTTAAGGGTGTTTGGCATGGGTGGTATGGACGGGCGATAGGATCACCCCCTTTTGGTAAAAAGATTAGAAGTGAACCTCCATCATCCCTTTCTTACAATATCACTCCTTGAAGGGGTCACCAAGCACCTCCCAAAAACAAAAAGATACATTGTATTGCCTCGTTGTATTGACCAAGCACCTCCCAGTGACCCACACTTTAAAGCTGGTTTACATAGCTAATCCCAACACAAAGCCTACGAGCCACAAGGAATTTTTATCCTAGGATGCAAAGTTTTAAGGAATCTTCACTCAGTTTTGTTAATGGAGTCTAGGAACTCTCAGAGATGATTAGATCCCTCGCAAGGGACCTAGGTCTCCATCTTTCCATAATAGAGATGAGTTTGGAGGCGCGGTATTAAATGGGAAGATGTTAGGCACAAAGCTTGGCTACTATCATCTAATTGTACCAGTCAACACTAAAGTAGAGTAACCAGGAAAACTCTTGCACAATAACAGTATATAGCAATTTATATCAAATTGTTTCAATATGTAACCGTAGTCTGTGTTATCAAATAACCCTAAGCATGCTCCTAACTTCGAGTTCAAGTGATTAGATAAACTAAGAGAGATGGTGAATTGGTAGTACTGAAAAATTTAAGTAAAGTTTTCGATTAATCAAATGCTTATGAGAATGAACAAAGATAGCAACATATGATGATTTTTAAAGCTTAAAATAAAGAAGTAATAAATTGAATGAGTTGAGATGAGAAAGTTAAATCCAAGGTCTAGGCAGGTCTGGCTCAATACCTTTAAAAGCCTATAAGTACTTAAATTTTTAAATGAGGTCTTTTTTATTGAAATTAAAAAAAAATATATTTTTAGTGGGAGATCATTAAAAACGTATTACGTTCATTGAAAATAGGAAAAGGATTAAAAATTATTAGCATTATAGGAATTGAAAAGTGAAAAAAAAATAGAGATTTATTAAGCACATAATAGAGAAAGTGAAAAAATAAGAAATTTTATTAATTATTTTAATTTTTACATAAGGAAGTGAGATAAATAGTTGAGAATTAATAGGAGGTAAGAAATGAGAAAAAATAAATATTTAATAGACACTTAATTTAAGAAATATTTTATTAATTATTTTAATTTTTATATATTTTTAATATAATTAATTATAAATATTTAAAATTATGAAGCTTATAAAATTGTGGGGTCTAAAACAAGGGGTTTGGTGACTTTATGCTAAAGCCGACCAAGTTCAGATATAACTTTCACAACATTCACTCAGACCCAAACCTTACAAATTCTCTCAACGGTTTCATTTCCATCGATCTTACTACTTCAATGGTAGACTAGAAGAGTTTTTGCAGACTAAATACCTCATGGGTGTTTGCCAATTTAGTAAAAAGGAAAAAACAAACACATAAGATCAAATACAAAAAAGATGAACAATACTTGCTCTAGAACACATAAAAGCTCTAAATTGCTTTGAGGAAATTGATTTGATGCAGCTACAGTACTTCTTTCATCTTCAGCAATGTTAGAGGAAGTCCTTTTATACTTGGAAAGAGGTTGGCATTGCTGGGATGCATTAAATGAAAGAGACTCCTAGGCGCTTCAAAACTCCGATTGTTGTACGCTGAAAAGGACCCAAGGAATCAATCTGTGCGGGAGGAGATCAATCCCTACATGCTTGGCTGAAATGAAAGTTGCTCATATTTAAGAGGGGATGGAACTCGTAAGAGAAGAATCGCTGCCTTCATACTTTACAACACTCTGGGACGGTTTTGTTTGAAGAGAGGATTGCTTCTGTCACCAATATTTGAAACTCCTGCTCTTGACTCAGGAGAAAATTAGGTTGACTTATGTTTGACTAATATTTCCTGCTTGAAAACTTGAATATTTTAAATAAGAATTTGAGTCTAAAGTATTGAGGCAATTGTTAGGGAATTTTTGGAGAAAAAAATAATAATTTTTATTTAGTCCAACCATAAATATTTGTAATGAAAAAGGCATTAAAATTTTTATTGGAAAAGTTATATGCAATCAAGATTACAATCGCAGTGAAAATTTAAAACTTTTCCTATTAGCTAGATCAATATTTAATTATTTAATATAAAAAGATCTAACTAGGAGGAAGAAAATTGTTATACCTCAATAGCATGAATGTCGATATCACAAGGGAAATGAATCTCATATATCAAAATCTTCATAAGTTGTCACAAACTTCAAAATGTCCAACTATCCCATCTTTAACGGTGATTGATTCATACAAATGCCAAGTGAAAAAACTCCAAGGGAAAAGGGGTTGCTTATGTCAACAATAACTAGCCCTAGCTAGGGTGGGAGGCTCTTGGTTTTCACAAGTCTCAATTGATCGTTGAAAGCTCAAGAAAAAAAAGAGGAATAGCGTTTGTTGATATCCAAAAATAAGGACGAAGTTGTTTGTCACATCCCAATTTTGAGAACATGACTTGACACGAGGGTCTAATAGGCAAGGCCCATTCAATCCAAGAGAGCTTTGGAAATAACAAACAGAATCAAATAATAGATTATAAAACCATGGGACATATCTCCATGTATGCATATATATAAATTTTAGAATCCAAGTGCACTATCTCGTGCTCAATATTGTCACGACCCGTTTTTAAGGCCATGATCGATGCAAGGGCTTATATGAATATAGCCCACTAGACCCAAGTAAACCTCACACATCTTATCCATAGATGTATGCCATCCATCTCACATGAGTGAGTGTTCATGTACACCATTCCACGCATTTAGTAGAAAACAAGAAATACACATATAAACATGTTTTCATTTATCATTATTCACATATCCACACTATCATAGTTTGAAATGCCTTTTGTAATCATTAACAACCATAGTCTCATAACCAATAACATCATAATCATTTGCACACTTTCCAGTGCTCAACATGGGTATCACATAACATGCGTAAATGAACATATTTATTCTTAATTTTGTTTGCATAACATATGCCTCAACATAATATAGGAAATACGCATTAAGGCTCGAGTCGACACCACAACGAAGTGTAACTAACACTAGAGGCTCGAAAGAAAGCTCTATCACACCTACCAAAGCATGAGCTGTGAGACTCCTCCATGATGTGGTAAGTCAAGCAAGCTACTAATTTGAAACAAAACAAGTACATTTTTTGTGTGTGAGTTATAAAACTCAATGAGCAGACATATAAATGGGATAAGCTAAAGGGATAAGCTTTTACATAAACTGCAATCTTGATATAAACATGAATTTAGAAATAATCATTTATTTTCATCCCAATCTTTGAACTAATGTTGTTTCCAAATCCATTCAAGTGACTCTAGTTGAAATCAAAGTCATTTATGAGTTTTTGATTAAATAGAGAAATAAAAAATAAGTAGAAAGCCACTAAAAAGGTGTATATAGGCTATTTTATAGCATAGGTATCGATACTTCCTTGAAAGGTATCAATATTTTTCATTTAGTATGCTGTCTAGACACCAAGTATTGATACTTCTTGGAGAAGTAGAACTTTTCACATAGAATGCCTCTTCGACATTCTATTTGCTAGGTATCACTACTTCACTTATGACGTATCGATATGCCATTTAATAAACTCAAAATTTGGAAAATTTCTAGCATATGCAAGTCACATTTATCATAATATCCTACTAACTCATTGGACCACACCATATCTGTCATGACCCATTTTTGGATACCTGCGACCAATGCAAGGACTTACATGCATATGACCACCCACTAGGCCTAAGCAAGCCTTTCAAACAATATATTAGTGGGCTAGTCATCCACAACATTCATCACATAAACATTCAATGAAAATAAATTCATATAAGCATAGGCACCATCACACAATTATGGAACTTCTCAACATAAGGTGTGGAAAACGCTTTATTTCATTAACATCATTTGTATATCCTATATTTCATATCAACATTTATTTGCACCCATATGGGCTCTCAAGCCTTCACCATTCATATTTGTATAAATTCATACAACTATAGTGCCAAACGTTGGCTTCACAGTCATAACATGTGCAAGTATATATAACCAGAAATGTAAAGACCAACTTGTTAATGAAACATGACTCGAACCTCTAGGTTGTAAATGGATACTAGAACACCTACTAAGAAGGAACGGATCACATCTCTATGACACGAGCTATTATATATCTCCCTTCACTGATTAGCCAAAAAAAAAAAACTAACGTGTGAGTCATGAAAACTTTATGAGTGAATAAGGGAAGGGGATAAGCCAAAAGGAAGAGTTTTTGCAATCATCCATGCTTTTGCAAAAACAATATAAGTTTCATAAACATCATCATAGTTCCTTTCAAGTGTTCAATAACATCAGTTCAAAACATTTCCCATGAATGCAATTGAAATCCATGATAAATAAATAATTTGATAAAACAATTATAGTTCCAAATACAAAATATTTGCAAGGAGAAAACGAGAGAGTTCACATCACGGATATCGACACCTTCACCTTGGTAACAATATCCTTCTTGTACACAACCTAATTGTCGGGCATTAGCTTTCACATTGAGATCTGTAAGTACTATTCTAGTCTTCATACAAATTAGTTCTATAATATCCATTCTAGACATGAACACGTAATCTGATCAATTAATCACATCCTCATTCCATACAAGTGCAATGTCATTGAAGTCATTTATACATGTTTATCACAATATTAGATTCTTTACGAAATAAAGAATCAACTCATATCATTGCCTATATTAGGAGAATTAGTATGTCTACCTTAACTCACAGTTATATGGGTGTATTGTATTCTTGCCCCCACATTTGGCTATATTATCATGTGATATTCTTACTCCCCACATCTGGCTATATTATTGTGTGGTATTCTTACCCCTCATATTTGGTTATACAAAGTTCATGCTTTTATAACACAATAGTAGTTCACATATCATTTCAAAATAAATTGAATACCTTAAGTTACATCATATCATTCCTTTCATAG